GTTGTACAAAATGTACAGTATGATGTAGCTTGCTTGAGCCTTTTTGTGGCTCTCTTATGGAGCAAAAGACTATTTCAGAGTTTATGTAATGATACTAAATGCTCAGCAGAGGGCAGAGTAAGTCCAGCATCTGTGTGTGTGAGACAACATGTCTTCAGCTGAAGGGTTTCACACAAGGCTGCTGTGGTCGTTGAAAGAAGTCTCAGGCGTTATCTTCCAGAAACACCCCAGATTGGTGTTTCAGCAAGATAACTCCACTTTCAGTCTTTTGTGCAGGTATGCTGCCATGGTAACCTATGACGTCATTCAGGTTGTCTGAATTTAGGATAAAGAAGCTCGTCTGGCACTGCGAAATATGTGGTGTAAAGTTTTATTTCAGAACAGAAATATGTAAATAGAAACCTGAATGTGCAATTAAAAAGTGCATGTACTTTGTGGCATTCAGAGATGTACAGGGATCAATATTTACTGATTTGTGTAAAAAAAATAATTTAGCTGGAGAAGTTTTGCCCATTAATCTGCAAATAAAGCTTAAAAAAACACTTTGAATAAAAAGGCGACACAAGCAGTGATTAAACAGGACATAAGAGAGGCATTTCAGTTTTACTCTGAAAAAATATGCAACAATTGTTTCTTCTTTACTGAGCAGTATGTTTTTTTCATTATTGCTTCACATTCTTCTGATTTAACAGTTTGTGTTTTCTAGGCTGCAGAAATAGAATCAATATGCAATTTATCAAAATGTCATAGTGCCAAAAAATGCTAATAAAGATCATCAGTGAGCAACAGAAGACAGAAAACAATATCTTTAAAATGCATTTTTTTTTCCCCAAATGTGATGCTTAAATATTCTTGAAAACGCTGAGATTTCATTTGTTATTCAACACTTTAATGGTATTTAATATGTTCCAATTTGATGCCAAAGATATTTAACCTGCAGCTAAAAGAATAACTTGTTGAGAAAGTTGAGATAATTAGTTTACACGTGAAAAATGTTTACGTCTTGATCTGTTTATGTCCTGTCATCAGTGCACCAAAACACAAATGTGGCTTTTGATTTTTATCTAAATGGGTTTCTTATCTTGAGAGAAAAAAATACCAGTGTTGGAGGTTAGT